AAGGTCTTCGTCGTCGCTGGTGGGGATGTAAAATGGTGAAGAGACAGACAATGAAGTAAGGTTTGAGGGAGGACGTGGAGGAGTTGGAAGTGTTGTGCGTTGCTGGTGGGGATGTAAAATGGTGAAGAGACAAATGAAGAGTGTTGAGGAGGACGTGGAGGAGTTGGAAAGTCTTCGTGCGTGCTGGTGGGGATGTAAATGGGTGGAAGAGACAGACAAATGGAAGAGGTGTTGAGGAGGAGTGGGAGAGGTTGGAAGTCTCGTGCGTTGCTGGTGGAATTGTAAAATGTGAAGAGACACAATGAAGAGGTGTTGAGGAGGGATGGAGGAGTTGGAAGTCTCGTTGCGTTGCTGGTGGAATGTAAAATGGTGAAGAGACAGACAAGTGAGAGGTGTTGAGGAGGACGTGGAGGAGTTGAAGTCTCGGTGCGTTGCTGGTGGGATGTAAATGGTGAAGAGACAGACAATGGAAGAGGTGTTGAGGAGGAGTGGAGGAGTTGGAAGTCTCGTGCGTTGCTGGTGGAATGTAAAATGGTGAAGCTGCTCCGGAAACACCTTGGCAATTCCTTGATGTACAGGAATATGAAGAGTTACCGACACGCCCTGCAAATCCACGCCTAAGTATATCCTCAAAAGCTTTGAAGACATGCGTCCACACAGAAACTTTCACACAAATGTTCTTGTGTTCTTGGCAGCATTATTCATCGTAGCCAAAGAGTGGAAGCCTCTCATGCCCATCAGTAGATGAATGGATAAACGAAATGTGATTTATCCTTACCATGGAGTATTATCCAGCCACAAAAAGGAACAAACTACTGATTTATGTAAACCATGAATGAACTTTGAAAGCATGATGCTAAGTGAAGGAAGCTAGAAATAAAAGGCCACACATTGTATAATTCTATTTATGTGACATGTCCAGAACTGGCAAATTTGTAGGACAGAAAGTAGATTAATGGTTGGCAGGGACTGGGGGAGGGGGTGTGGGAGCGACTGTGTGTGGGTCTTGTGCCTTCTTGGGGTGATGAAAATGCTCTAGAATTAGATGGTGGTGACGATTGTGCAACTCTGTAAATGAACTAAAAAAACACTGAATTGTACATTGTAAAGGGTGAATTTCATAGCATGTGAATTCTGTCTCTCTCTCTCTCTGTGTGTGTGTGTGTGTGTGTGTATGTGTGTATTATTATTATTTTTTTTTGAGACAGAGTCTTGCTCTGTTGCCCAGGCTGGGGTGGAATGGTGCCATCTCGGCTCATTACAACCTCCACCTGC